GGAACGTACTGCCTCGTGGAACTACTCTCTCTCTCTCTCTCTCGATGGTGTATGCAGTTAGTCTCGAAAACGTCCTTTCCATGCGCTCTCTCTCTCTCTCTCTCTCGTGGCCATTATTCCGCAGGATTGAGACGAATCTTGCGATACCAACTTTCCACGATGCCGTCGTCTCTCTCTCCTCGAGGTAACCTACCACCCCTCTCCCTGTTGGATTGATTCCGGTTAAGGAACAAGCGCGGGGCCTCTCCTTGCTTCGTATTACGTCGAGTCTCGTTTGTTTGGATCCGTTCGATGGGTTTGCGCAATTTCCTAAGAAACTGTGTATCTCACGTCTGCGAGAGAGTTATTAGATGGGTCGGATAAAAAGAGAATTCTACTACTATCCTTGTTTTTGCCTTTTGATGTCAATCGTTTCTCGAATCGAGAAGCTTTTGATTAAAAGAATCGTAATTAATTACACGAAAGCATAATCGATTATTCCCTCCGATTTTTGTAGCCAATCAAATCGATATACTTTTTTTATTTCGTTTCAAGATTTACTTTTACTTTCGCGAATCATTCGCGTGAAACACAGCTTCGGTGAATTGGCATCGCGTTAAACGTGTTTCGCTTATTACAAAGCTTGAAGTTAAACTCGAGGCTCGTCGACGCTCGAGATCGATCCCTCGTCGAGGAGGCGGCGCGCACAAAAAGCACACGATTGAATTTATCGGCTTTTATTCGACGTAATAACCCCCCTCCTCTCTCACGTGCATACACGTTCTTGACCCGTGCTGTGCATACTCGAGTGTGCAACAACACTCGGTTGTTGGCACCCGACCGCATACACGCCCATTATTTCGTCTTAAACTCGAGGAAAGGACCTCTCTCTCTCTCTCTCTCCCTCCCCCTCTTCTCTCATCGAACCTTTCAACGAAAGCCCAGTAATTAAGAAGCCTCGCTCGATATCCTCCACGTCCCACGTCGGGGGAAGAAAGAGATCCATGGGAGAGTGAATGCACATAGAGTTGTGGGCTCTACGACTCGGTGTGCTCGCTGCGCACCGACCGACTCGTCGATGTTTTGGGGGGGGGAGGGGGTGGATGAAGAAGGGGGACGTGGAAGAGAAGGGGAGGGCGCGTAGAACAGCGAGCGAGAGACTATTATTGCGCGAGAGTCGAGAGCACAAGGCTCGGCCCCCGTGGCTCGTTATAACTTTAGAGTTGGCCAGTGGTTCGGTACAAGGTGAAGAAGACCGCGCTCCACCATCGTTGGTTAGGGGAGCGAAGAGCCATGGAAACCGTTTTATGTAATAATAATTGGATGGCGGTGTCCTTTCATCTGTTAGTCTCTCCCTCAACGTGAAGGTCGGCAAAGAGAAGAACGGAAGAGGGAGCGATGAACGAGAGACTATGTAACTATGGAGAAATGATTGTCGCGAGGAAAGAAGAGGAATGAAACTTTGGAAAAAAAAAGTTCCTCCTCCTCTTTGTTTCTTGAGAGCGATCTTTCACGATTGACCGTTTCTCTCCCCCTCGTCGATTAATCTCTGGAAAATTTTCACGATAAACGACACTTCGACGTCGCGACTTACATCGAACTCGAGACCCGTTTGTGGAATTTTCGTCGCGCCAAAATCGTGCGATTTTTTTTTTTTTCGATCCTCGATTCCTGTATTCATGGCAGTTTTCTGCTGAAAAATCTGTGCTCGATAAATCAAAAAAAGCAATGGCTAGATGAGACTCGACTTACAACAAACAAACTCCTTTCGATCACAACCGCCGCGTTACCATTCTACCGCGTTCTGCTGCTAACGATTTGATACTTGTCAAACAATCCGGTAAATCAATCTACGATACTTTCCTGAAAACAGTGTCGCCGTTCGGTAAACGAAAAACCAATCACCGTTCCAAAATGGTGCATGCAACTTACAACGGGCAAACTTTTTCCGATATTGATTCGATATCGATCTCTCCAACAGTCAATCCTCTCCTCTCTATTTCGCTCTCATCGATGTATCTATATTTCTCTTAAATTAATTCTCCAAAATCCTTTCTTTTCTCCTTCGTTCGAGAGAAGAATTTGACCACAGAATCAAAGAATGTAATGTAAAACGGCGCCTCCCAAAATATCCATACGCTCTTTACAACGCATTTTAGAAACGTGTCCATTATGCATATAAATACATACCGCTCGAATCTTCTCTCGATACCAAGATTTCGATTCGATCGATCAATTGGTGTTTCGTCCAGGTGTCGTCCATCAACAGGGTGCTGAGGAACCTCGCCTCGCAGAAGGAGCAACAGGCGGCGGCGGTGCAAGCGCATCAGGGTGCCGAGAGCGTGTACGATAAGCTTCGGATGTTCAATGGGCAGGCTGCAGGTTGGCCACCGGCTTGGTATTCCGCTACGCCCTCTCATCATCCCTTGGCCACGGGGATCCCGACGGCGGCGACCCCGGGCTCCGGCCAGTCGCTTCTACCCGGCAGCCAGCTTCACGGCCGCGACGATTCCCTGCTCAAACGAAGCGGTGAGTCCCAATTATACGTTTAATTGCTAAGCGCGACGCGCAACCGTGTTTTCTCGAACAAGAGATTGTTCCTCCACTTCGTTAATGGTGATCCTTTATTGTTCTGATTATTTGGGGGAGGGGCATGTTTTTCTTTTTTTTTTTTTCGTTAAGCGAGAATTAACATTATTCCGAACAATCTTTTTTTTTAGGTAACTTTTTAAATCGGGGAGTAACGCGAAGAGAATTCGTAGAGAATTTTTATTCTTCTTCCCGTTTCTTTCAAACAAGAGATTTCGAGAAAGGTTGGAAATATTAGTGGAATTAAAAAAGAAAAATGTTACGATACGTGACTTCTTTACGAGATGTTTTTTTAAAAAAGAAACGAAAGATTCGTACGAATGAAATTCCGTTAATCAAAAAAAAAGAAACATATTTGTCGATGAATTAGACGTTTGAAAATCAACAAGGAAAGATCGTTTTCACACCTCGTTTCCCGGCAAGCAGTTCTCAACGTAGACCAACCCCCATACGTAAACGAAATTGTTACCGTTCATCGAGCACGGTCAATGCCTCTCTGGGGTCCTTTTCACCTTTTTCGCGTCGAGAGAAGGTGTAGAGAATCGGCACAGGAATCCTCTCAATGGCTCGATCCACTTCTTGCCGCGCGGTGACGGATCCGACAATGGTCTCGAGGCGAGGTGAAAGTCAAGGGAGGGAGAGCACCCTCCACGTATTATAATCTTGCTCGTACGCGCAACACCCTCTCGTCCCGTTATTACGCGCCTTCCTCTCGCCTCTCATTGTGCGGTATTTTCACATTGTGGGGCCGACCAGTTCCTTCCATCGAGAAGAAAAGAAAGAAGGAAACGGTGTCTCTCTTCTAATAGGATCAAGGCCGATTTGTCGTGGTCCTCTCCCGATCGGGCGATGCTTCTGAATGTAACCGCGAATTCGAGATAAGCAGATTAGGGCAATTGTGATCTGATTCTAAACGAATGCCCACCGTTTCTGTATAACAATGTGATATGGTTTTGGGGTTACTTTACGATGAAATTGTAAAATTATGAGGTAATTAATTTTCTCTTCGTAGCGGAGGATCACTGATTTCTCGATTTTTCCATCTCCTCTTCCAAATACTTTCCAAGAATTGCTATGTAGCAAGAAACTTCACTCTTCCATCGAACAAAATTAAAATTACCAATTAACTCGAATTTCTATAATCGACGTCTTTAACTCTTATCAAATTACTCCAACAACAACAACAACAACAACACCACCCACGTTCTACCAAAAAAAAAAAAAAAAACTCGAACAGTACAGTTTCACTCTCGAGAACAGGTTCGCACCCTTACTCAAATAAGTAGAAAATATCCCATATAAAAGCGTATACAGACGATGATTTCACTTGGCACGAGGGACGAAGAGGGGGGCCACATCGGTACATATATATATATATATATATATACACGTTTGAGGATGGCGGTATTTCGGATTGCGAGAGAGGGTGGCGAGAGGTGGTGGAGAGAGGGAAGTTGGCGAGAGATTTCGTAGTAGAGGGTCGTGGCAGAGAGAAGGCGGTGGAGAAAGGGTGGGTGGTGCGCGATGCGCGAGAGATGAGCGAACGAGAAAGCGAGCAGCTGACGAGCGGACGATATATATATATATATATATATATATAAGCGCATCCAGAGAGATACGTACATACATACATACATATATATATACGTATAAGTGTGTGGCGAAAGGGCGAGTATATAGGCACGAAGGGATGGACAGGGGGAGGAAATGGCAGGAAGGTATCGAGGAGAGGGATGGAAAGAGGGTTCGGTGCGCGGAGGCGGAAAGTAATCGCGGGAGCCGTCAACGTCGACGACGATGACGACGACGACGACGACCACCACTGGTACAGACACACCTCTGTGTGTGTCGTTTTCCGTCTTAATCTTGGCCCTCCCTTCCTCTCTCACCAGCTGTTTCTAGGAATACCGAGAACGTTAGTCCGCGTCGTTCGTCGCGAAATCGGTGGAACGATACTGTCGGTGGGTGGGACGGGGCTATCCTTAATTGGATCGCTCTTCTCGAGGCAAACTGGTGGAAAGTTCGAATGCCCTCCCCCTCCTTTCTCTTATCCCCCTCCTTCGGCCGAATTTTCTTCTCGTCGTCGCGTATCTATCGGGGCCCCGAGAAATAATAGGGTGAATGCGAAATGAAAGAAGAGAAGATGATGGGTTTGAATTTTTTTTTTCCTCTCTCTTTTTTGGAGATTCCCCTTTTGTAGATAGAAACGGTTTTTCGAATGAAAGGGGGCAACCAACGTTTACGTTTGCTTTCAGACACGGGCTCCCTGTTGTCGCATCAGCAAGAGACCACGTCGGATGGCAATTCGGAGCACAACTCGTCCGGCGACGAGGATTCGCAGGTACGGCTGAGGTTAAAACGGAAGTTGCAGCGCAACCGAACGTCCTTTTCCAACGAGCAGATCGACAGCCTCGAGAAAGGTTAGTTTTAGACAGTTTTAAGACTTTTTGGACTGGATGGAATTTATTATCGATTTATTATATTAAAAAAAAGAGAAAAAGAGAAAACCTTCTTAACGCCCGTATTTCTTTTCAAAATAATTATTTTTAAAATTCGAACGAAAATATGTATAAACGTTAGAAGAATATTCGATAGATAGAAATTTGTGAGAGAGATTTTCGTTGAAAGGTAACCACCACCGGTTGTCATTAATTTAAAAGAGATAAACCAACGTATATGCATGGTATTAATAATAGAGGACCGACTACTACCCATCGTCCTAAACAAGATTCTCAAAAATAAATGAGTTAGTAATTCCGAATGTAAATTATTAAATCCTCTCACAAGGGGGATACGAATTCATAATTGAAACTATATCGAACATAAGCACGGGCGTTAAGGGGTTGGAAGCGGCTACATCCCCTTTTCCCTCTTTTAATCATCCTACAAAAATCCATCTACAATTACTACCGTTGAAAAGAGGAAAACAATAAAAAAAAAAGAAGAGAGGAAAGTACCATAGGTAGCTTCAATTTCACATTTCCACGTAACGAACACCTATGCCTGTGCCCCCCCCCCTATGAACAGAAAGCTCCATTTTCGTTCAGCCGGTAATAACGATATAAACGTCGAACGATCGTGTCATGGAACCCCTGTACGTGTACGTGTATTCCGTTTCGCGACGATGCATGCATATTCAGAGACGGTCGAGGTAAATTACTGCTTTCCTCAAATATATATATGTATATACATATGTATATATACACACATATATATATCTATATATATATATATATATATATCGGTCTTCTCTCGTTCAGCAGGAGCAGCACCGCTGCTTTAATTGGATCCGCGGCCATTCAAGTCGGCGCTGCGTGTTCGAGTATCGTTCGATAATTATCCTTTTAATCTTGTCTCGTGGTGAATCGAAATTATGCGCGATTAATATAAAATTGTACCACGTCCACGCGCGAGTTAAAAACAAATATACGTACTACACACACACATATATATATATATATATACATATATATATATATAGTACACACACGTGTAGGTATAAGTAAATTACTTATATAGTAGCGCGAAAACACGCGAGCTATCCAACGGAGCCACGTTTAATAACGAGCACTTGTTGCAAACTGGTTTCGTTTTAGAATTCGAGCGGACACATTACCCGGACGTGTTTGCACGGGAGCGTCTCGCCGAGAAGATTGGATTGCCTGAGGCACGTATCCAGGTGAGTGTGAATGTGCGAATGCGGCGTGTGCTTCCTCTTTCTCGTTCGCTCCGCCTTTTTCTCCCTTCCTCTTTCCATCTTTTTTCTCTCTTTCTCCGCTCCTTCTCTCCTCCTCCTCCCTCGTTTGGTCGTGTCTTCCGCGTAAGTCCTTCTTCTTCTTCTTCTTCTCCTCCTCCTCCTCCTTCTTCTTCCACTCCCACGACACGTCTTCTCCCGGCCTTAGGAGAGAAGGGCGGCTGTTAAGTGCAACGACGCCCTTTCATTAAACGCTTTGAAACGCGTGACCACGGGGACGTTAAACACCTCGAAAGACGAATCTGCGAGACCACCCGGGGGGGATTTCTCGTCTTTATGCAGGCCTCTTTTTACACCGTCGTGCCATTTTTTTTAAACGCCACCAACCATTCGGATCCTCCTCTCTCTCTCTCTCTCTCGCGCGCGCTACTGGTATTGCAGGTTTTTCGAAAAATTTGACGGAAGAGGAAGAAGAGTGTTCTCGTCGCTTTTTGAAATTTGGAATCTCGTTGATTGCGAATCGTTGATCGCGATTAAAGGAAATTCGAATAACGATAAAAATCTCTGCCATTTCTGTCCAGATCATTTATACTTCTCCCTATATAAAAACGAAAGAAGAATTCCCGTTTTTGTTGCTGAAACAAAGTTTTTCCAAGGAAAAGCGTAATTTCGAGAAATCACGTGTGCTGTGCAATACGCGAATATCCACGAGAGAGAGAGAGAGAGGAGGAGTTACAAAGGTACGAAGTAGAGTAGGAAGAGTAGCGCGCGCGCGAGAGAGAGAGAGAGAGAGAGTGTATCGTAATTAATTAATATAACATCGTTGCTCGAGCCATGGGGTGACGCACGGTTATACGAGCTAATATGTACGCAGCCTTATCGAACATTGTTTGGCCGCGCCGTGCCGCTGTGTTCGACCCTCTTGCTATCCGCTCGGCCTCCCTCACCTGGCCCCGACGATAGGGGGTGGTGAAGTGGCCGGCGGGCTTTCGCGTCGGTGGTAGTAACCGGGCGCTGAGCGTTATGTGGACGTACAAACAGTGCAAGACCATGTTGACGCATGTTTTCAAGCCTCGTTGGCTGGTATTGATCTTGCTAAGTGCAGGAAACCGGGAGTGCCGGTGCGAGAGGCAAAGGCAGAGAGAGCCTGGAGAGAGTGAGAGAGGTGGATAAAGAGGTGGAGGGAGGTGGAGCGGAGAGAGAGAGAGAGTGTGTGTGTGAGAGAGAGAGAGAGAGAGAACGGAGAAAGTATAGACAGACAGGGTAGGAAGAGAGATATAGGGAAGATGGATAGGAGAAGAAAGATAAAGGAAAAAGAGAGGAACGAGTCTTCTATCGTCGTTGGATGGAACAAAGGGGAGTGGGAGAGGAGTAAGGAGCTACTAGTAGAAGGGAAAAGGAAGGAGAGTGGAGGAAGAAGGAGGGGGGAGAGAGAAAGATTGCGAAAAAATGGTAAAAAGGCAGAGTACGATTCTCTCGAACGTCGTTGGACGAGGAAACGAGGACAATCGTGACGGACGGACGATGCGAGAGAGAGAAAAAAGNGAGAGAGGGGGAGGAGAGAGAGAGAGAGAGAGAGAGAGAGAGAGAGAGAGAGAGAGAGAGAGAGAGAGAGAGAGAGAGAGAGAGAGAGAGAGAGAGAGAGAG